CGGGCCACCATCGAGGTGCGCAAGGGCGGCTGCCTGCGCGCCACGGGCGAGGAGTACTGCAACGGCGCCGGGCTCTGGGTGAAGCTCAGCAAGGTAACGGCGCCCGGGGCCCCGCAGCGCCCGCTCCCCGCTTCTCAGCAGCCTTCTCGCAGCACCCCAGTGGGACAAGGCCCAGGGGTGCGGCAGAGGTGCTGGGTCCCGACCGTTGTGACAAGTGCAGGTGTGATTTCAGGAGCAGCTCAAAGAGCACAAGGGCTGCCATGACCTGGAGGAGGGCTGGCTCCTGGCGCAGAGATTTGGAGAGACAGGAGATAAGCTGGTCCCAGTCGAGTCTGTGGAGAGGATGCAGTGGCAGCAACAAATGTTCGGGGTTGATTATAAACCTGCGGTCAGGTAGGGCCCAACCTGGGGCTCCCAGCTAGGGCACAGCCGTGTGTGTGTTGTGGAGTCGCATGTCACTGATACTGTCCTATCCCTGGGTAACTGCTCTGCTGGGGCTGTTCCAGCTGGGAGCAAGTGGTGGACCTGATGTACTCCACGCGGCTCGGAGGCAACCCCAAGTTCATGGATCAGGACGAGGCTGCGGTGCAGAAGTTTCGGTACGAGCACATCTCCTGGAGGGGGTCCCTACAGGGCCAGGGTCGGAAGGGAGGCCGGACACCACTGCATGCACGCAGTCTTCTCTCCACACGCTGTTGGGTCACCTGCGTGGCACTGTTTTGCCCAGGTTGGGGTGACCATAAACACCCAGCGTGATGGCGGCAACACAGCTGTGTCTGTCAGCCAAAGAGCAGTCCCCATTTGGTGACTGCGGGATGCTGGAGCCATCCCAAGCTGGGGCGACCAGACTGGACAGTGCTGTGAGACAGGCGGGGGGCCGGCTGGGATGTCCGGGGCACAGCCTGGTCACCCCTGTCCTGTCAATGCTGAGCCCTCCTGCAGGTCTCTGCCGGCGTCCTGGAACTACGAGTGCGACGTAGAGCTGGCGCGCTTCCTGCGCGATCACAGCGAGAGGGAGCTGCAGGGACAGGACTGCATGAAGGAACACGTCAACAGCCTCGACGTCTCCTCGCAGGCGGTACGTAGCGCGGCTCCGCCGGCCTGCGCAGGAGCAGGAGCCAGCTGGGCTGGGCAGCCCTGGAAAGCCCCAGAGATGGGAGGAGTAATGAATGACTCTTGCTAAAGCCTCTTCTCGTAAGGGGAGGGAGCTGGAAGGTGCCTGGGTGCCAGGCAGGGAGGAGGCTCCGCTCAGGGCATGTCTCCTGGGGGGAGCTGGAGGTATCCTGGTGAGCCTGGCATGTGCTGGCTAAACTCGGCGTGAGCCGCAGCACAAGGGACACGTGAGCCAGCCAGGCCTGGTGCCTCCTGAGGGGCCGATACAGGTTTTAGTGAAGCTGGTGTGAGTTGGGCAGCTGGAGCAAAGCCCCGCGGCACTCGGTGGCCATGTCCAGCTCGCTCTGGGAGTCGCTGTTCACCAGCAGCCCTGCAGACGCAGGGGCTGGCCCGCTCTGACCTCCTCCGGCTTCATGGGACCCCTCCTGGGGTGGCCCAAGGATGCTCACGCTGCCTCCTTCTGCCCGCTGCGCTCTTCCAGGAGAACTTCGGTGCATCCCACCTGACAGACGGCCAGACAGACACCTTCTGGGAGAGCGAAGGGCCCCAGGGGGAGCACTGGGTGCGGCTCTACATGAAGAAAGGCTCCATCGTCAAGTGAGACCCATGGGTGTCCTCTCCACAGCAGGGGTTGTGCTGGAGATGAGCAGGGTGTGGGGGGCCAAGTGCCTTGTTGTCTTGACTGCAGCTCTTCACCTGGGCTCTCTTTGCCACAACGTGGGGCTCTGGATAGAGGTGGGAGATGGCCGTGTCCCAGGAGGGACGGGGGTGTGCACAGACCTGCTGGCAGGGCTGGGGGCTTCTCCCAGGTGTCTCCACACCCAGGCAGATCCAGACAAAGCTTCCCACTCTTTTCACCTCCAGGAAGCTGTGGCTGGTACTGGAGTCACAGACCACATCCTACATTCCCAGACGGGTGGCTGTGTATGGCGGGGAACTAAACAGGCTGCAACACCTGAGAAGCGTCCTAATCAGCGAGTGAGTAAGGAGAGAGGAATAGCCTTGGCGCAGCTTGGGCCAAGCTCCTAAACTGCATGTTTGTCCTTGTGGAAGCGCAAGGAAAGGGCAAGGGTAAATCCCAAGCGATCTGTCCCTGTCATGGGCCCTCAGCGGCTCCGAGCTCCCTGGGCTCGGGGTTGTATCAGTTGCTGCAAGAGTGATGTCCACTCATCCTCTACCTGCTGGCTAAGCACCTTGAGCTGTACGTCTGGCCTGTGCTCTCTGAGAGCTCCCTGGCCCCGTAACTGCTGCTATGTATTTGACCAGTTCTACTCTAAAAACGTTTGTGTCAACGTATGTTTGAGACATTTCCTGTGAATCCCCCAGGAGCCCCATTGGGAACAGCATCACGGTCATTTCGCATTTCTGTTCTGCTCTGTCTTTGCTGAATTTATGCTCTTTTCTGGTTCTTCTCTGGACGTGGCTTTCACCTCCTTCAGGATGTCTCTGTTCTTCTGTCCTTCTGCATTCGCTGTCTTCCTGCTGTAGCCCTCGGTGAGCAGAGGGGCTTGTGCCGTGGGGCATTCCGGGTGCATCGCAGAGTCCTAGTTTAGAGTTTGCTTCCCACTTGCTGCTTGGCCGTGGTCGTGTTGCAGAAATGCCCCTTTGGTGCATTGGCCCTGGTGGTTTCGGTAGCCAGGCCTGAGCAGGGTTGGAGGCATTACCGAGACAGGAGCTGGCGCAAGGGCAGCATGGCCTGGAGTGCGGACGGTGCCAGCGGCAGCCCGTGAATGCTGCGGGGTCTGCTGAGGGCTGCAAGGAGCATCTCCGATGGAGATCTCCCTTTGCCCAGGCGCCCTGCAACAGGCCTGCCTGGGAGCCACTGGGGGCAGGAAAGGGGCTCTGCCATCTCCTCTGTGCTGTGTGTGCAGGAGCAGCTACCGTAACGTGTGCATCCTCCGCAACATGAAAACCCACCTGCCGGTCCTGGAGATCCGCATCCTGGAATGCCGGGGTGAGCTCGCGTGGTGAGACCTGGGGCTGCCAGCCCAGCAGTGCCCGTAAACCCCCAGCAGCCTTCACAGATGCTTGTAGCTTTTTCCATCGTGCTGGCTGCTTCCTTGGTCCCTTGGAAGAAGGGCTGGGGATGAGCCCCTTTGGGATGCTGCAAGGCAAAGCTGGAGGTGGCTCCTTGTCCCCTAGTGCAGCAGCGCTGGGCTGTGCTGGCTGCAGGTCTGCACCCCCGCAGCACCTTTGCCCTTTCTTGGCAGACGGCGGGTACAACGTTCGCCTGCAAGGGATTAAGATCAAGTCCTTCTGGGAGTGGGACCTGGTCCTCAATGTGGACATGTTCCGGCCTGCCAGGCTGGTGCGCTATCCCCTCCTGGAAGGGGTGGACAGGGACACGCTGTACCGGCGGGCTGTGCTCATTCAGAGGTACGGCACGGGACAGTCCCTCACGCGCAGCGAGCCTTGGCCCTGGGGAAGGACCATGCCCAGCCTTCAGCACGGGGTTGCACTTATCTTTCCTGCTAGTTCCTGGGGCCAGCACTGACCTGCCAGGAGCCCCTCTGCAGCGAGCCGGCCACCGCACCGCAGCATGGGCCATGCGCTAGGGCTGCTCTTGATTGCACTTTTTCCTAAGGGGCGTCCAAAATAAGCACTGGGACAGAGGATGCTCCTTGGGCACCCCTCGCCACTGGGCCAAGGCCCCTCGGTGGCGAGGACCCGCATGTGGCAAGGTTGTGCTTTGGGCTCCATGCTGGGCTGGGGCAAGCTGAGGTTGTCCATGGGGAAATGCAGAGAGTGTCCTGGGCTCTGCGTGTAGCCCAGCCTGTCTCCACACTGCTCCTCTCTGCTCTCCAGGTTCATCACGCTCCTGGACAGCGTCCTGCACTACCTGATCCCCATCTCGGACCAGACCATTGGCACCTTCAGCGTGCTCAGGGTGAGCGCTTGCAGGGAACTCGTGCCAGGGACGGTGCGTCCGCGCGCGCGGGCAGGAGCGCAGCCCCTGACTCGCCCTGCCTGTGCCTCGGTAGAGCATCAAGCCCTTCCTGCCGCTGTCCAAGCACTGCAGTGCCCTCATCACCCGGTATCTGCAAGACTCGCAGAGCCCCGCTCCGCAGTCCGTGCCCAAGGTGCACATCAACCGGTACCTGGCCCGGGATCACCGTGTCAACCCCGCACTGGACCCCACCTACAAGAACTCCATCTTCACCCAGGTGCCCTTGGCTTGGCCGAGACGGGCTGCGCGCCCTACCCGGGTGCGAGGCAGGGTGTGCGTTTGCTGTGTGAGCCACTGCTCAGCTCCCCTTTCCACCTTGTGCTCCTCTCTAGCTTTACGAAGGCCTCAGAACTTCAGGCAAGAACCAGCAGCCCATGAATTACAGGTAGGGGCCGTGCTGGCATTTCGGGTCTGTGTTCATGGGGTGTCGCTGCCCCAAGCGGGACGTGGGTGGTGGGAGGTGCCGGATGCTGCCGAACCCCCACATCCTGGGGAGGAGGCCGGCGCACGGGGCTGCCGCTTCCCCGCAGGTGGCCCCCGGACTACACCCAGTGGTGGGAGTGCGACTTCATCTCCGAGGGCATCGTGGACAACGGTGAGAGCCTCCCGTCCGGCTCCAGGGCTCTTCCAAGGGCACCAGCTCGCTGGGGAGCAGCGGGTGGCTTGGGAGGTCGCTGGCTGCTGCAGGGTGCCCATGCTGAGCCTGGTGCGTTCAGGGTGGCAGCCCCGCTCTGCTCCCCGGGATGCTCCCTGCATCTGGGACAGTGCCGGGACAGCCGCCTTGGCCAGGCCCCGTCTCTGTGTCCAGCTTCCCCCCCCACGCTAAGCAGCCTCTCTCCACATTGCAGGCGGCGGCTTTCGGGACAGCCTGTCCGATGTGTCGGAGGAGCTGTGTCCCAGCGCGGGCGACGTCACCGTGCCCCTGCCCTTCTTCGTGCGCACGTCCAACCAGGTGCAGCAGCCGCCTGCACAGAGCCGGCCACCCACACCTGGCCTGTTGGTGCTCCTGCAGCAGCTGAATTTGGGCTCCGGGAGGTCCTACAGGCTGGGCTCCCTCTTCTGCAAGGGGCTGCCAGACAGACACTGGGGAGAAAAGTCAGCAGAGTGTGGCACAGCCCATGGGCTTGTCTCTCAGTTATAATATTTTGGGAATTTAGTCCTATCCGAATGCTTGCAGGGCCATCAGCCTGGCTGCTGTGCACGCACCCGTCTGACAGAGACCTCCTGCATGGTGTGAAAAGGGGCAGGGAAGGCAGGCGAGGGGATGGAGAGGGAGCGTGGAGAGGGAGACTGGGCAGGCCCTGGCCGCATGTGTCACATCTTTGGCTGTGGGTCCTAAACCCCTCTTTCCCGCAGGGCGCTGGTGACACCAGGGATGTGTACGTCCCCAACCCCTCCTGCAAGGACTTCCCCAAATACGAGTGGATCGGGCAGCTCATGGGAGCAGCTCTGAGGGGCAAGGAGTTTCTGGTGAGCCTTGGCAAGGGGGACTGGTGAAGGTCATTGCAGCCCAGGGGCATCAGTCCCTGCTGGGAGTGTTGCCTGGGTGGAGGGCTGTGTGCTCAGGCGGTGCCGTGATGGAGGTGCACGAGGAGGACACGTCTCCACTCCCTCCTGCAGGTCCTGGCTCTGCCAGGCTTGGTGTGGAAGCAGCTGGCAGGGGAGGAGATCAGCTGGAGCAAGGACTTCGCTGCTGTGGACTCGGAGCTGGTGAGTGGGGATGGGGGCCGGAGGTGGCCCTACATTCCTGTGGCTAGCTCGTTGCTCTGCAGCGGTGGCTTTGGCCTGTTTTGGTTCCAGGTGAAGCTCTTGGAAGTGCTGCAGGGGGTCGACAGGGAGGCCTTTGACTTCATGTTTGGCAGAGAGCTGACCTACACAACGGTGCTGAGCGACCAGCGCATGGTGGAGCTGATCCCCAACGGCAGCAGCACCGTGGTGCGCTACGAGGACCGCAAGGAGTTCATCCGCCTGGTGCAGAAGGCCCGGCTGGAGGAGAGCAAGGAGCAGGTGACACTGTCTCCCAGGGCTGGCCGAGCTGCAAGGTGGACCCTGCCCCATATGGCAGATTCTCCTGGTACCCTTGTAGCCAGCAGCGGGTCTGGTCCCTAACTGTGTGCTGGTTGCTGTCTGCAAAAACGTCCCCAGCACCAGTTCCAGCAGGGTGGTCCCTTCGTGCATCCCATGCAGGGGCTACTCTGAGTCCCAGGGATGGTTCCTGGCTCTGTCGTGAGCTGTGGGCCCTCTCTGAGCTCCCTCAGCCCCTCGCCTCGGTGCTCTGCCAGCTGCCCCAGGCTCAGACCCAGCGCGGTGACGTGGGACCTCTCCTGTGCTCCCCCAGATTGCAGCCATACGGGCTGGGCTGCTCCACGTGGTGCCCCAGGCCATGCTGGACCTCCTTCCCTGGCAGCAGGTGGAGAAGATGATCTGTGGGGAGCTTGAGATCACAGTGGCCGACCTGAGGAAACACAGTAAGTGCTGTGGCAGACTGACTCTGCTCTCTGCTCCAACCGGGCCCTGCAAGCCAGGACCCCATGTTTCTTCTCCTGGTTATGGACAGGGTGCCAACCCTGCTCAGGGGCACCAGGGGCTCCCGGGAGCTCACTGAGCATCTCAAGCCTTTCCAAGCAAGCCAAGGGTGACCCTCGCCTCTGTTGCACACAGAGAGGGTCTTGGTAGAGGATGGTGGCTGGGGGAGCCAAGGCAGCTGCTGAGGGGAGCCGAACCTGCCTGGCGTCGGGTAGGAGGTGGCCCCATCTTCTCCAGGAGCAGTGCTCAGAGTGCGCAGGGTAGAGGGAGAGCAGCCTGCTCCATGCCCCAAGGCTCCCTTCCTCCTCCACTTACACTGTGGAGACTTGCAGAGAGGCTGGACACATCCCACCTTCATTTTCCTTTGCTGGGAGTCTCTAAAAAAGCTCTTGTGCGTTCCTTGTCACAGTCACCTTTGAAGAATTCCCCCCCAAGGACCCCCGTGTCGAGATGTTTTTGGAGGCGCTCAACAACTTCACCAGCAGTGAGTCACCCCCCAAGCCTTTCCTCACTCTTCGAGTGTACTGCAGTGGGGTGGCGGGTCCAGGGAGATGGGGTATCCACCACCCTGTGCCCCTGGGAGACTGCCTAGAGACCATGGGCTTCCCTGGGAAGCCATCCCGGGATGCTGAGGCCATCCAGTAACTTTGCTGTGCACTGTGTGCTCCTGGGGTCCCTGTGGCAGGTGGCCAGGGACCCCACTGGCAGGTTGGGGCAATCAAGAGCAGAGCTTGCCGGCCCCGACAGCCCAAGACTCGACCCTCTGCTTCTTCCCAGGGGATCTCAGCCGCTTCCTCAAGTTTGTCACCGGCCGGAGCCGCCTGCCAGTTCGGATCACCATCTACCCGGACAGGACCAAGTGAGTCTGTCCTTCGCTGGCCCGGGCGTCTCTGTGCTCTGGCCATGGCCTCACTCCTTCCTCCTTGCTCCAAAGCTCGCAGGCGGTGGACATGATGCCAGAGGCCTCCACCTGCTCCAGCATCTTCTACTTGCCCACATACTCTTCGTGAGTGGGGCTGGCCTGGGGGTCCCTCCTGTCCCCCTCTCAGTGCCCATCCCAGCTGTGCCCCCTGCCTCTCCCTTGCAGGGCCAAGGCGTGCGAGGAGCTGCTGCGTTACGCTGTCTACAACTGCATGTCCATCGACACGGACAGGAACTTCTGGGAGGAGTGAGTGCCCCGAGGGGCCCCCTGGCACGGAGAGCGGCTTGCCGGGAGCCCTCTGCCCCCGGAGACACCAGGATCAATAAAGCCGGAGGCCCCCTTGCCTCTATTCCACTGCAGCCCGTGTTCGCGTGTGCGTGGATTTTGCAGTGCTGGGTGCTCAAGTGGTGCACGGCGCTGCTGGAGGGCAAGCGCTCTGTGCAGCCCAGCCCTCCCCGGGCCCCGCGTGCCCATTGTTCTCTGTCCCTCTAATCGCCCTGGGAACATTTTGCGGGGGTGTGAGGCTGTATCTGGGCCCTATGGGGCTCGCACATGTTGCCGGTGCTGGAGATGCGACTAGGATGGGGTGCAGCTTGTCTCGCACGCAGGGTGCTTTCCGTGCGGAGCTTTTTCAGCCCGAGCCGGTCACCAGTGGGACGGGTCCCTGAGGGCACGGGGATGTTCACAAGGAAGGAAGCCCCGTACGCAGCCGGCGCCTGCCATGGTTTATGGCGCGCGGGAGGCGGCCTGGGCGCCGCCAGGCCCGCCCGGCATGTTGCGGCCCGAGCCCAGC